CCTTATGTTGTACCTACACTTTCTAAAAATCCTTCTATGGTACAAGCTAAACTTGTACCTATACTTGTGAGCTTTAAATTGTACCTACACTTTCTAACAAATCCCTCTATGGTTCAACTCAAAATTGTACCTAAAATGCGCAATTAAGCGTCCGATTAAGCGTGAGCGGCCATAGACCGCCTCGCTGACGCATTAAGCGGTAGAAAAAGCGTACGTATATATGAATTAATATCCGCCTGGAGAAACTAAAGGGAAATTGCGGAAGTTTTGCGGTTCACTTTCCATTATTATATATAATAACATGCAAACCGTAGGGCTCAAGATAGGGTGTATAACCATGGGTTATGCACCCATTAGTAACTAAATCTAGACCTTTCATTCAGAAAATTCAGATCTAAGGATGGAGAATTAAATGCCATTTTTATTTTTCTTTATTTTCTTAATCGGCTCATATCTCCTTCGTTTTAACTCGAATTTCAATTTTTTTTGCACAGACGGAATGAGTTCGTTGTGCTCTACAAAACGAGATCAATTTTCAATATTTTTTGAGGGAAAATACCATATGGTATCTTCTTAGTATTTAATTCGGTTTTGAAAACGTTTGCACAGAAGGAACGAGTTCATCATGATCTATTGGATCTACCAATTTCTGGGTGAACAAATTACAGGACAAAAAAATACCACACGATACCACAAAATACCACCCTAGTACGGAGTGATATCTTGTGGTATACAATGTTAAAAGTCGTAAATGACAGTTAATATACTTCTACTATCATGTATTCAATCATCCTACAGTTTTGGTTTGTTTATACCACCATGGTACGCTTTTCAAACCATAGGTATGCTCTTATTTCATTACCAGTCAATACCATTTGGTATAAACTAGTAAAAAATGGCTTAATTTTTTTTATCCAGAAATATATCAAAGTGGATATCATTTTGAAGAGCACAATTAATCTGATATAATTGTGCAAAAAAAAAAATTAAATTTTGACTTAAACCGAGTGAGAAATAGTCCGTCAAAGATTATGGAAGGGAAAATTAAGGGGTCGTTTGGATGGATCTTTTGGATGGGGCAATTCGACCCAATTGACTCAAAATGAGACAATTGTGTCAAATTGTCCCGTTTGGCAACCAAAAATTAAAACGAGACATTTTGGACCGGGGGAATCACAATTGATCCATTAGGGGTTAATTAGAATTACCTGGGGGTGGGGGAGGAAATCTGAATTGTTCCGTTTTTATGGGCCCTTTGATTTTTTTAGCCCTTTTAACTTTTCCTTCTTTCTGCAAAGAAACCCAGACCCACCCTCCCCTTTCTCTTCTTCTCTTTCCAATCAAGTATCAACCATTCCCTTCTAACTTCTTCTTCACCAAATCCAGCAGCGTAGGAAGATTAATCCCTCTCTTCCCTTTCTATTCATCTCAAACTTTACCCCTTTCTTGGAGCAAGATTAATCCCTTCCCGGTCGTCGCTTCTTTTTCATTCGACCCCCAATCACTTTCGCCGCAGTCGATTCAACTGTAAACCATATCTATTTTCCTCCCTGCAGTTCATCTTCTCCTCTCAACTGTAGCCATCTTTTTTTCGCCATCATCTCTTTGCATGTCCCCTGTTGTAGAGATTCCAGATCTCCAACAGCCACCATCCTTTTTCTCTTTTTCATTTGAGTCAAGCTTCGATTAAGATTTTGGTTTTGGATTCTCTGCTACGGGGGTATTGGTTGTTTGATTCAGGAAAATTTGATTGGGAGGGTTCTTTGGATTGGTTTTTGGCATTTGGTTAGTTGCATGTGGGTTTTAGGAGAAGGAGAAGAAGAAATCGATTTTCAATTTTGTTTTGGATCGACAAGTAGATTTTCCCCTTCTTCCATCTTTCTCTGTGCCGAGACAATGGCTTCTTCTTCGTGACTTATCCCTACCCTCAGAAACCAAAAACCAAAGCAAAAAACCCATTATTTGTGTTTTGAATTAGTTTGTGTGTATTATGAAACACAAAAAATGTATAATTTTGTAGATTATGAATTTAACAGAAAGAAACCCAAAAACAAAGAAAAATTTGCAGAAGGCGGCGATGAGTTGGTATTTCACCAAAATGGCAGATTTCCTCCCAGTCCATCCAAACGACACATTTTGGGCAGATTTCCTCGTCAGATTGACTCATTTTCTAAAACAGATCTTTTGGTGCAAATTGACTCATTCCGGAAATGTTCCATCCAAACGACCCCTAAAGACTTTCCAGAAGAGAGAAGGATGTTGATGTCATGCTGATGTGGACGAGTTACTCACCATAAGATTACTGACCTCATCAGTTCCCAAACCGTAGTTAACATATACACAAACGTGTACAAAATTAAAACTAATTAACTAATAATTATCACCAGATAAGGTGCTTGGATTATCCTCATCAATAATTAGATAATTACGTGCTTGTTCTTTGTTCCTGCATGCATAGTTTATTGGTTACTAGGATTTTATTGCTCAACTGCGCTGGTATTTGAGATATTTATAGAATCAACTTGGATTCCAAATTTCTTTTTTACATATACATAGTTGATGGTAGTGGCTGATTTAAACAATTAGAGCAAATACACAATTTAAATTATGGTTAATACACTTCAACCTCAAAAGCAACAACTATAACCACCTAATTATTCAAGACACCAATAGATAGAGTCGCTTTGCGTAATTTCTACAACCGAACATTTAGGAGAACTATTGCACAACGCAATCAAAAAGTTAACATGCAATTTCGAACAGGAAACATGAAACTCAGGCGGCCATTTCAAACATTTCATACCCATAAATAGTGAGGCTCATATATTACAAATAGTTCTTATTAAAGACACATAAATAATAATAATAAAAAATATAACCATTAAACTATTCATTAAAATATTTAACCTAGTAATAATCAAAAGCTCCTGCATATAAACAAAGCGAGGAGACACGACACCCTGAACTACACCCATCAGCCACATTACTTAACAGAATCAAGTTCCTCTGTCAAATTCATGAGAGATCAACTGTCACTTGCGTAGAAAGGAACAAATAAACAACAAAGCCAGCATAATCAAACAGAACACCACAAAAAACAAAAGAGAAAATCACATACAGATATAGCTTTCAGACTATTAATTAGCACTTTCCACCGCAAGCAACGCCTAAAATGCCGGTTGAAATACACCCAAAGGAAACTACTTGCAGTGCTTTGGCAAAATCATATCAAGCTCAACGTTGTTTCTGGGTATAAGATGTAGAAAGGGAAAATCAGTGAAAGATAAAGCCTTCCTGGCAACTAACTGAAATCTGCAAACATCACCCATAATCTTGCTCCAACCAAATTCAGTCACACATTCTGTTACCAATTGACCATTGAACCCGTGACAAATGAACAATAAGGTAAGCACACAGCAGCGAGAAAGTTTTAGATGCATGAATCATGTTATTTAAATGAAAAGTCCATAGAGTTGTAAATAGTGAAGAAAGTGTAGGGTAGATGATGCTCAGTGATCTAACCCTGAGGAGCAGAATTTTCTATAGGACAACCTAATGGACTAAAAGAAACTTGTCTAGCTTTATCAAGGACCCCCACTATCGATTAGTTGAAATGAGTAGAAAGCAGAATAAGTAAATGCTCTAGTCAAATTTTTGTTCTCCAACTTTCATTGATTGATTGAAATAAATCTGATACAGACCTTGAAATAGTCACTGGAAGAATTACCATTTTCAGCAAACCATTATCTGTGTCAAATGACGCCAATTTCCTCCATGTTTAACATAATTACTTAGAGAATCAAGCTAGAAAATTGAAATCCACAATAACAAACCATGATAGGACCAGATGATCACCAAAAGAGTGGATTGTTGAAAGAGCATACCAAACTCCCTCCGCTTGGTCTGCTACTGTAAGAGCGGGGATTGAGTGATTTAACATCAATTGCAAATCCATTGTCGTTCACCATGGAACTGAAAACACAGAGAGATCAAAATTATCATTAATTAGATAGCCAGGGGAAAAATAAAAGAACAAACTGAAAGCAAAAGAAAGAAACTCCCACGAACAACTAACATGCAAAAGCTATGAACTAACAACATCATTTTATGGGGTTCACATCCAATTGATCCCTTCCCCTGATTCATTCAATCATAAGAAAAAGCCAACATAAATAAGAGAAGGAAAGTGGATAATATAATGATGATGGCCTACATAAGCATTGTATCTACATCATGAGAACCTAAGTAGAACCATAATAGTGTTATGATCCAATCTGCAAGGCATATGATTTCAGTTACTATCGCTTGCTGGTGAACCATTGAACTGCCTAGAGCTAATGAACTACCAAAAGATATTTACGAAAGAATCCTAGGATGACAGAACCATGACACCCTAATCACCAAAGTTCAAACATCATAATACAAAAATAGAGGCTGTGCAACAGTTTCTTGTATCTTCCATTTTAGTTATCGTAATACAAACTAAGACAATATCTTACTCCAGTTGTGAATCATTTGCAGCACGAAGCAGAAAGGAGAACAGAAAGCAAAGCTTGGCAGAAAAAATGAACAAAATCAACACGAAGCAGTAGCCGAGCTTTGCTTAAAGCTTTACAGTAATTTTTACAAATTGCACCTACTCAATTATAGGGAAATCCAATCAATACCTGCAATCAATGTGCACCAGCAAGCCCGACACTAATCTCCTTAAACTGCTGCTTCACCCTCCATCGTGAAATCCAAAGCACAAGATTGTTGTCAAAGACTGCAAACAAAAGTTGTATGAGAAAAGATAACTGGCAAAGATAACAGAGGGCCGAGACATGGGAAGAAGAGAGACGGAATGGAGCCATCTGATAGAGCTGTTAACCTTCAATGAGTACCACGATCATTCCGGTCTGGCAGCAAATCTATGAGCCAAGGGGAAAAGATATGGTTCAATATTAACATTAACATATATCCTGAAAACAGAAGTAACAAAAAATGAGATCCGAAAATCACTAGAATTGGTAGATTTGGATAACCAAAATATTGAATAGAGAATAGGAGGGGGAGTATTCCAAGCCGCATCGCTCAGGGTTTCTGATCGTGGCTAGTTGGGTGAGAGAAAGCTTCTGAAGATTTGGGGGGAAATTAGATGGAGAAGAGCGATGTTGAATCTCCAGCCACTTCTCCACCGGGGTGACGAATGCCTGATCGGCCACCTCCAGCTCGTCCATGCACAGCCGGAGCAGCTCCACGTCGGCCTTACATCTTGACAATGTGATTAACGTCCTGATCGCCGGCGGTAGGATAACTTCTTTGACTGCGTAGAGTAGCTCGAGACCTGGAGATCGACGATCCCGTTCAGCTCGTTCCCGAACCCTAATGTGAGGAAGCACGCCGCCCAAATGTGTTCCGAGTGGTGGAAGAGCGATCTATGGTTCAGCACGGCTCGAACCATCGCTTGAGCGGTTTCTGCGGAGGTTTAGGTTGTAGAGGTGATTCCTTTCCTGCGAGCGTAGAGCTTAATTAGGTCGTTGATGTGGAAGCATTGGAAACAAACGAAATACAAAAGCATCCATATAACGACTCACCATTGGAGATTCGCAGTTGAAGGATGCATCAACTCAGATGCAGAGCTCGGATCCTTCTGTTCTGTTCTGTTCTGTTCCTGAGAGAGCCGAGGACGATGAACAAACCTGGGAAAAGAGGACAAAGAAACCCCATGAGAGAGAGTCAGAGAGATAATGAACATTGAACACATTCAAGAATGGGAAGAGAAAACGATTGCAAAGAAAGAGGAATATATATTTCAGGATTGCTTTCTCTGACCTCGATGAGAGAAGATATAGTACTACTCTGGGTAGATTAGGTTAAATGAGTGACTCTAATGGCTACGTGGTGCTTAACCCCACCAAGTAAGCGAAATATCTCTGCCCCACTGTCAATCTCATCCTTCTCCTTCCCTGACCAAGCTTCTTCTCTTCCCTTATATTTTTTTTTCTCTCTCTCGGTTTCTCTCATCAGTCCCCTCAATTACCTTTCCAGACTCAATAAATACACCCAGTCTACATCATCAAGACATGCCTCTCTTCTATGAGATTTATTGTGATGGGTCGTCTTTGAACGATCCCCAGGTGGCGGTTTATGGCGTTGCAATGTTCAATAGCCATGGGTAGGCTTGGCAACGGGTCGGATTGGGGCCGGGGAGGGGCTATCCGCCACCCGCCCGAAAGCTTGTCGGGCTTTCCCCGAATTCGCCCCACTAGCCTTGTCAGGCTCATTTTCAGGCCCAACCCCTAATCCATCGGGTAGCGGGCTTCAATCGGGTTTATCGGGTATACCCGCTACCATTGTCAGCCTGAAAAAAAAAAAAAAACAAAACAAAACAAACAAAATTCAAAGGATGCAACCTGGAAATTCTTAGAGAAAAATCAAATGGCACTCCAACTCTAATTTCCAAAATCCGAACTGTCTAAACAAATCCAAAAGGATCAAGGCATCCAATTCATAGTCACAAGTTCATAAACTTCAATTCAAGCAATAAAACAGAGTAGCAACTAGCAAATCACAAATCCACCTAAGTGCAGCAAGGCAAACTTAAAGAAAATGAGCCATCAAGCTCAACATTAAACAACAGCAACTCTCCAGCAGTAGGCAACAACAATTATCCAGTAGGAAGCAACAGCAACTCTCCAGTCTCAACTCTCCAGCAGGCAACAACAGCAAGTCTCTCCAGCAGCAGCAACAACAAGCACTCAGCCGCAGCAGTCACATGCTTGATCTTCAAGCATCAAAGTCCAGGAGTGCACGATCTTGAAAATCTGTGACCACATACAAATTTGTTCAGTATTCACCATCTTTGAGATTGAAATTACTAACTAATTGTTTAGTATTCACTAACCTCCTTTCTTAAAGTCTTCACAACTGGGATCCTCCATTGTCAATGCAGAAAAACAGCTATCCAATTCGTTAATCCCCTCCTTTCCAGCATCTGCAGACAAAAGAAAGGAGAATTGAGTTAGTTAATTTCACATTAAACCACAAACAGAGCTAGAAAAAATTAAATAAACCCCTTACCTTTTCTAATATCATCCTTAATCCAGGTATGGGTGTACATGATTGCCTCAACAGTTTCAAAGTGCAGCCTACTCCGGTGAGGATCCAGCAGCCTACCACCGGAGCTGAAGGCTGATTCTAAGGCCACAGAGGTCACTGGTACAGCAAGCAAATCTCTTGCTACCTCTTGCAACAGAGGGTATTTTCCAGCATTCATCCTCCACCAATCCAAAATACCAACATTAGGAGCTCGAGGATTGACACCCTCACTCAGATAATGGTCCAATTTAGAGCACAATGAAGTTGTTTTAGACATTTTCCTTTGGCTTAGATAAAGCTCAAAGCCAAGGTCGCTAGAGGTAGGCACAGCAAGACCATTTCCAGAACCAGAGGAGATCATCCCTAGCCTCTGTTTCAACTGATACTCACGTACCACATTATAAACAGTGGTCTTAACAATGGCAGGGTCAAGAGTAGGATCAAGGCTTTGAAACTTTTCATAATAGTACCCAATCAACTCAAGCTTGTATGCAGGATCAAGGACAACAGCCACAGTAAGCAACACATGAATAATAGTCCAGTATTTGCTGAACTTGATCCACATTTTTTCAGCTATTGCACCAATGATCTCATCAGGACCATATCTCCACTCATTCAGTTCGAATTTCAAGTCACAGATCTTAGGAAAGAACAAATTAGTAGTAGGATAATTGCTTCCAGAAAACAAATCCGAAAGTTTTTTGAAAACCTCTAGTTTTTTAGAGATCATAGTGGCAAACTTCCAATCATCACTGCTAGGCACTGAAGTATAATTAGGTTCTCTCTGACTCAAATGAGTGAACACATCCTTGTAAGGAATTGCAGATTCAAGCATAGTGAGTGTGGAATTCCACCTAGAAGGGCAGTCTAGTGCAAGTTTGGTAGAAATACCAACATCTTTTTGCTTAGTAGTCTCATCAAAGAACTCAACTCTCCTTGGAGTTGCAGTCCAATATACCACACTTTCCCTAATCTTTTCAATCCCATCTTTGATAATTTCAAGCCCATCTTTCACAATTAAGTAGAGAATATGAGTAGAGCATCTCATTTGTAGCAATGAACCATTCATTATGAAGTCAGAAAGAACCATCTTTCTCTTAATCTTATCAATCATGACATCATTTGTAGAACAATTATCAAGAGTGATAGTGGATAACTTACAATCCACATTCCAGGACATGAGGGCCTCTCGAAGCACACTTGCTAATTTCTCACTAGTATGAGGAGCAGGAACGTAGAGAAACCTGTGATACACAACATCAAACAAGAGGCAGAACCATTCATTAGCAAGTGGCTCCTAAGGTTCCACTGATTGTCAACATAATGAGCAGTTACAGCCATGTATGCTCTCTTTTGATTAATGACCTGCTGTCCACATGTCAGTGGTGACAGCAATTCGACCTTTGTTACCATCAATCAAATTTTGCATCTTTTTCCTTTCAATCCCATACATAGCAAGAATGCCACTCTTACAAGTGTTTCTACAAGGAACTTTGAACAAGGGTTGCAGAGAATTGTAAAATATTTTGAAGTACAAGTGATCCACCATACTGAGTGGATACTCATGCATCAAAATCATAGTAACAAGTTCCTTCCTAGAAACCTCTGCATTAAACTGACCAGTACATATTTCTTTCCTCCCAAGAACACCATTTGGAAGGAAATTAGTGGCAATATTTTTCTGATGGCCATCATGAATCTGTTTTTGAACACATACTTTTTTATGATTCCTCAAATGAGAGGTACCATTGCTAGTATCACCACCAAGAATCTTATGCAATATTTGCACTTAGCTTTCATCACACCAGACTTATCAACAAACCTAGTAAAGTGAGACCAAACATCATTTTTTAATGGATGTTTGGCCCCAAATGGAAGCGGAGAAGGCTCACCATCATTGACTTGTGCATCACCAGCAGCAGTCACTACATTACCATCATTCACAGCAGCTCCTGGTGCATCACCAGCAATCAATGGTTGCTGCTGCTTGGATTCAGGGTTGATGAGTGGGGGTGTAGATTGAGAGTTGGGAGAGTTGCTGAATTCAACACCTTCCATTGCATCACCTGGTCATCAATCAGGAAAAAGAAAACAACTAAGGTTCAATTAACTGAAACTAAGAACTAATGACTAGTACTAATAAGACCCCAGACTGTAAAATCGACAAAATTACCTTCGTGATTAGTTAATGATCAATGAAACAAGGCAGTCAGTAACCCTACAACTCTACAGAAATCACGAAACAGGGGATGAGTTTAACATGCAAGTATGCAACACGCACTCATAAGTTAGAAAGAACCAAATCCACAGAGTAAGGCTATAAGAAGACTTACGGCTTGTGCAGTTGTGCTCCTTGCAGTTCCATTGACTGGAATTCTCAACAGGGATTACAAGCGGATACAAGCTTCGAGAGTGGTTTGCGACTTTGCGTTCTGTGAATCTGTGATGAAAATTGCCAAAACAATCAATTAGACTATTTATAAAGGCATGCATGAAGAAGAAGTAGAAGATAAAGCTCAAGACGAAGAGAAAGAGTCGATTAAGGGCAAGTGCAGCTGAAATCGCCATCGGGAAAGGCTCGATTCGAAAAAATCGATGGGGTTTCAACAGATTGATTGGGTATCTGACCTTTTGAGGAATCAATGTAGGGATTATTGCCGTTTTTCTCTGCAATCGAAGAGAAAACTGCGAGATTTGAGGAGAAGGCAGAAGGGGAAGGGTTGGGCTTGGAGATTGGTTTATCAGAGGAAGAGGATTTTTCGTGAATGAAGTGGGAAGGGGGGGGGGGGGGGGCTAGGGTTCTCTAAATGCGGGTTGTGGGGCTTGTCGGGGCGGATTTTACCAAAACCATCACCGCCCGTCAACCGGCTACAGCGGGTTTCGGGTTCCCCAAAAACCGTCAACAATCCGGTCAAACGGATTTAACCCGCCAAGTAACGGATCGGGCCCGGGCGGGTACACGGAATTCGGGCCCAGTTGCCAAGCATAGCCATGGGCTTGTCTGGTTTCCGGCGAGTTGAAACCCTGCTTGTGTTGTGCTGATTGTTGTGGAAGCAAAGGGGTTCTGGGTTCACATTGATAGCCTTCTGTTGCGGATTCTTCTATTGGAGATCAATCTTTTCCCGTTCTTTTTTCTGGCTTCTTCTTTTGGTTTGGATTGCTCTGACTTTTGAGTCCATTATTGTTTTGCTTTCATTGTGTTTCTCTCACTCTTTGTAACTGTGATTCTCAATGCAATACAAGTGCTCCTCTTGTAAAAAAAAAAAGACATGCCTCTCTTCGCTCTCAGCCTCTAAAACTGGCACAACTCCCACCTCAAAGACCATGACCTGGCCTCCAAGCCATTTGCACTGAGCAGCACTAACTCATTTCAATCAACCTTTCAGTCTCTCTCATGCCCTACCATCTCTGAGCCATCCCATCTCCCAACAGAGTTTCTCTCAAGCCTTACCATCTCTCAAGCTTCGATTGCACAACACCACCCCTGATACAGTAAGATCTTGTGTGACCAACGCGAGTGAGGGCAACCAACCAACTCACAATCCAAGCAACCAGAGGGCAACCACCCTAGTCCCACCGCAAATGAGCAGCCAAACTCCCATCTGATTCCAATGAGGCCTCGCCATGCTCCCACCCACACACAACCACGCGCCAGGATAGAATAGTACAACTCAGTCACGTTGTACAGTGAAAGCAGTATGTGTGTGCAGTGCAAGGGCATGCGGCGAGATTTCTTCTTTCAATTATGGAGTAAGTTACAGTACTTATACGCCTAGAGTTTTATATGTTATTACGAGTTATGATCTAACATTATGTTTAAACATTTGGCTTCACTAATAATAGGTAGCAATTTATAATTAAGAAATTAATATACATATAAACTTATTAAATCATTAATTTAATCCTTTTAAGTATCAGTATT